AGACCACCACTCTGCCTTCTGAAGGTTTGCAATGCTCATACATCAGAATAATAAAAACAATCAGCTGAAAAGCAAGGAGTAGCTGCCCTGGAGGGGGGAGACAGGTGACAGTGTCCTCAGAGCTCCTAGATGACTTCTCATGGGACTAGAGTCTGACCCACACTCAGAAAATTGTTCTAGATTGAGACATGAACCTAAAGAAAAGACCCCACAATGCACAAAGACCTGCTGTTAGAATAATAACATAAATCTATTAATTAGCTTCTCAGATGTCAGGCTCCAATCCCAGCATTGGTATTGAAGACTCACAGTGCTGTAAAGTGGGAGTGCATATGTCACCCTCACTTAGAGCTGTGGTGACTGAAGATTTGAAAGGATAAATAGCTTGTAGCATCCCTAGCTAAGAGGGCTGGAGTGTAAATCCTTCTGTTCATTTAACTAGTGAACAGTAATAAGCATTGCCCTTTAAACGAAGAGGCTGTGTCAGTGTTGACAGGCCAGCACCTCTCAAGCCAGCCTGGGGACCATAGCAGAGAGCACTGGAAGAATGTTGTTCTCTGTTTGTAAAGGAATATGAAATGAGGGCAAAGGATGATTGAGAATTTGGTTTCTGTCTAGGGGATTTTTCAAGTTTGGATGGGTAGCTTGCTCTCTACTGCCATCTGCTGTCCATGTGTATCAAGCTCAGGCCAGAGTTCTATCTTTGTCAGTATAGTGCATGGACTCTAACATAGACACCTTACCACACTAAAACACTTATAGTGTGTACCTCAAAGCAAGAGCGTTTCTGTGGCTTTGAATAATGACAGAAGTTTTCCTGCTTTTCATTTCGCTACCAGCGGGTTTCTAATCTTATTCTAAATAGTAGCTTGTTCCTGGCTCCCAGGCAGAAGATAAAGAAGCAAAGACAGCTTAATTAGTCCTGGATGCAATGGCTGCCTTAGCCAGCCAACTAGGACATGGTTACTGTCCTGTTCTCTGTGCTTGTGTCAGGGAAGTGAGAAGCCAAGCCTGAGTGGATAGCAGAATGAAGTCCTGCGGCCTTGTCAAGGATGTGTCAACTCTGCAGGGCCTCTCAGAATGAACTGAGGGAGGCTGCAAGGCTCTGCACACCACTGGACACAGGGGCAATTACTGCAACGGGTTCAGAAGAAGCAAGTGGGCATGACTGAGAACTAGAATCTGGCTCTCCCACTCACATGTCCTTGGGAAGAAATTTCTGTTTAAAATGGTTTTCTCAGAAAAGTGGCTCAGTGTCATTAAGGGCTCTTAGAGTAGGCTAGTCAGATGTGACCAAAGATAACCTACCTGTTTGCAGGACAGAAATGTAGAAATGTGTGTGGAGAGCCTAAGAGGAAATGCCCACTATGTTTGTTACAAGTGACCAAAGTGTACAAAAGCCTTTCTCTCTTGCCCCTTACTTCTGTCTCTCCTCTTCCCCCTCCGTTTTTCCTATTTCCTCTCCACTTTCCCAGCATGTTCTCCTACACATCACCTTGTCAGCACAGCCTATTTGCTTTTGCTAAGAGTTCAGTTCCCCTGCTAAGCTGGTCTCTTCACTGCAATCTATAAAAAAAACAAATTGTGAGACACAAACTGGAAAGCAGGCAGGAGACTCTGCTTCCTCTGTCTTAATGTGCATTCTGAAGTCCTCTCCCAGCCTGGAACCCCTCCTAGGAATTCCCTGGATGCATTCTGAGAATACTGGGTGCCACATAACTTGGCAGACTCATCAAGTCTTGACAAGTTGGAAAATTCATCTTGGTTTCTGAGCGTGTGTGTGTGTGTGTGTGTGTGTGTGTGTGTGTGTGTGTGTGTGTGTTCATGTGTGTACATGTGTATGGCACTGGGTTGGTGTGTGCATGTGCTAGTACATTTGCTTGTGTGTGTGTGTGTGTGTGTGTGTGTGTGTGTGTGTGTGTATGCTAGTGTTGATGTTGGGTGTCTTCTCAATTACTCTTTGTCTTATTTTTAATACAGGGTTTCTCACTAAACCCATTGCTCACTGACTAGCAAAATCAGCTCCCCACAGTTAGATTACAGACATGTAACATTGTGTGTGGCTTTTTAGGAGGGTGCTAGGAACCCAACTCAAGTCCTTATTTCACAGAAGCTACATTACCAACTGACCATTTCTCAGCCCCTCCTGAGCGTCTATGAAAAAAGACAAAGATTATGAGTTTCTTAGGACTTTTCTGAACTCTTTCACTCCCCAAGTTTGCAGAAATTGAGGAAGAACAAATGTTTGCATACTGTACCAGATAAAACTCCAAATGTCAGGCAAGGAGAATTATCTCACATACAAATAGCTTTGTGCCAAAAGAAGAAAAAAGGAAAAAAAGAAAGAAAGGAAGGAAGGAAAGGAGGGAGGGAGGGAGACAGGGAGAGAGGGAGAGAGGGAGAGAAGGAGACAGGGAGAGAGGGAGACAGGGAGAGAGGGAAAGAGGGAGAGAGGGAGAGAGGGAGAGAAGGAGAGAGGGAGAGAGGAAGAGAGGCCAGAAAAAAAAAACTATCTCCTGCACCTTTTGAAGACAGGACTACAGCTGAAGTTTTAAGAAAACCTGAATCATCGATCTGTTTTGCTAGTATCCCATCTGACTTGGCATTAATTGTGAATTTTTTTGATAATTTATTTTATTTAAATTTTAAACAAGCTTGTTTTACATGTCAATCCCAGTTCTCTCACCTTTCTGTCCTCCCCTGCTCCCCCCCCATCATCACCTCCCCCATTCCCTTTCTGCTCCCCAGGGAGGGTGAGGCCTTCCATGGGGAGTCTTCAAAGTCTGTCATATCATTTGCAGCATGTCTTTCTTTAGGTTAGGAAAGGTTTTCTTCTATGATTTTGTTGAATATATTTTCTGCATCTTTGAGTTGGGTGTCTTCACCTTCTTCTATACTGATTATTCTTAGGTTTGGCCTTTTCACAGTGCCCCATATTTCCTGGATACTTTGTGTCAGGGATTTGTTGGACTTAAGATTTTCTTTGGTTGATGAATCTATTTCTCCTAGTGTATCTTCAACACTTGAGATTCTCTCTTCCATCTCTCATATTCTGTTGATTATGCTTGTGGCTGTAGTTCCTGATCATTTGCCTAGCTTTTCTACTTCTAGCATTCCCTCAGATTGTGTGGTTTTTGTTGTTGTTTGTTTGTTGTTTTTATTTTTATTTTGTCTCTATTTCAGCTTTCAAGCCTTGTACTTTTTGAATTGTTTCTTGCAATTTTTGGTTTGTCTTTTACCTCATTTCTTGAATTTTTTTTCTTCCATTTCCTTAAGGAATTGTCTCATTAACTCTTTGAGGGTCTCTATCATCATTCTCTTCTGTTTCATCTGTGTTGAGATGTTCAGCTCTTGATGATGCTTAGTCCCTAGACTCTGGTTGCTTCATATTGATCTTTCTGTTATTGACTGTGTTCTTATACTGTCATCTACCAATCACTTCTTCCAGTGCATACCGGTAGGGTCTCTCTTTCCTGGTGGGTACAGGACCGAGGTTCTCTTCTGGTGGGTGCAATGGCTCTCCTCTTCCAGTGGGTGGTGGCAGGACTCCTCCCAAGGGTGGAGGTAGAACCAGGACGGATGCTGGCAGACTCCAGATGTGCTGGTCCACTAGGTATGCAGTCCCCAGTCCTCAGGAGGCTCTGAGCAGGGCACCAGAAGGAAGGCAGGCTCATCCTGTGGGTGAAAGAGGGACCAGGATGCCAGCAGACTTTGGACAGGCTGGACCGCCAGGACGGGTTCCTCCATTCATGTGAAGTCACCAGGCCTTAGGAGACTCTGGTGAATTTTTAAAAATAGATTTTAAAAAAAAAATATATTGAACATCAATTGAACATCAAGAGTTTATTGTATTCTCTGCAAAAAAAATCCTTTAACTTTTTATTTATCAGTTAAGTCAAAAATAGATTTAAAAAAATATTGAACATCAAGAGTTTATTGTATTCTCTGCAAAAAAAAAATCATTTAACTTTTTATTTATCAGTTAAGTCACAAGATTGCCAAAAATCACAAGTATATATATGGGTGGTTGAGTGTAAAGAGCAGAGTGATGCTGAAGGGAGGGTGTCATTGAGGTGCTGGTTTTAGACAGCTTAGGGGAGCACAGACCTCCTGTGCACCCCTCTTCACACCCCACCACAGTGATGGTTCACATGAGGGATCTCTCCATGGTTTTTGAAAACTGCATATACAAAACAATTTAATGATCTATTTATTCCTCAATCTAAAACTTCCACTTCATAATACTGTTTGTATAATTTTGTGACACATTTTTCTGAGACTTTGATATTAAATTTATACTTTTGGCCAATACATATTTTTAAAAATATGAAGACTTAATTGTTTTTACATTTTCCTTTTACTTTCAAAGAGGTTCAAATTTGGATGATAAATTACAAAGTCTTCATAATTATAGTCTATACCTCTGATCCCTAGAGAGCAAATATTTCCTCCTTGGCATGTGACTAATCAGGAATAAAGTGAGACTGGACCCTGTGTCTGCAGCTGCTGGGGCTCTCTCTGTACAGCACAGATGCCAAGGTCCCAGAGTATATTGCAGCCCTGTTGCAAGAGAGTTAGGAAAATGAAATTGCTTGTGTATTTCTAACTCTGCTGTGAGACAACCCCCTACATAAGTCAATAGATAACAAACTCCATAAGGAGTTGAACGAGCCAAAGAAGCTAGAGATCATGGAGGGTTAGGTTTTCATGAAGTCTTTATTATTGTTGTTGTTGCTGTTGTTGTTATTATTATTATTTAAAATGTAGTACTTAAAAAAAATCTTCTATAGAAGCACATAGGTTTCCTGAGTCAAGCAGAGTGGTTACTCTTAAACAAGGTCACAGTTATGGGGGGAACGAATGTCCATTGTGATAGCGGAATGGGTTCTCCACCTCCAGGACTTAGAGATGCATCAGATGCTTACTTGGTGAAAGAGTCCTCCTTTCAGGTGTTGGTTTTGTGTGGACAGTGAAAGAAACGCTGTCTTTTCTTTTGCCAGGCCTCTCTATCCGGAGCGTGTGCTGGAAAGCTGACCGCCTTCTAGCTGGAACCCAGGACAGTGAGATATTTGAAGTGATTGTGCGAGAGCGGGATAAGCCAGTGCTCATCCTTCAGGGCCACTGCGAAGGCGAGCTCTGGGCTCTGGCTTTGCACCCCAAGAAGCCTCTGGCTGTGACAGGAAGTGATGACCGCTCTGTCAGGTGAGGCTCCAGCAGCCACCATACCTCACGACTTCCTTGGGATAACAGATTTCTTTTGTCCAAATATGTTTCTGGTTTAACAACACACCACAGCGTAGGAACACTTTCTGAATGAGGGCTACCACTTAGGCTGTCTTCCAGTTTTCTTTTTAGTTCAAGAGAAGAGCCAAACACACTTCTCTTTGATGAGACAAGATTTCCCATTCATATGCTTGCCCCTCTACAGGGAGATTGCTCAACAATTTTAGGATTTAATTAGAGGCCCTCATTCCTCATGAGTCCTTCAGCTATGATTTTAAAGTTATCTTCAGGACATGAGCAAATTGTTATTATTATTATTAATGTAAATTTTGAAATGGAAATTTAGATGTCATCAAACAAAGAAGAATGCTACTTCTGAGACTGTGTAATTTTGTCAGGGTTTGCATTATTTTTTTTACTTGGTTGGTTGGTTGGTTGGTTGGTTGGTTGGTTGGTTCTTTTGAGACGGGGTTTCTTTGTGGAGCCCTGGCTGTCCTAGAACTGTCTCTATAAGCCAGTCTGGCCTCAAACTCAGAAACTGCCTGTCTCTGCTTCCTGAGTGCTGGGATTAAAGGTGTGTGCCGCCATGCCTGGCTTCATCTGTTGTTCTTTATGAGCACAAAATTGGATAAAATGGTCAAAATATGCATGCCTCCAGCATTCTGATGACTGTTACACATGCTGCAGACTGTCCTGTGTCTGAGAAGCTTAAAGTGCTCAGCATCAGAGAGACTATGGAGAGAGTTCATCCCATGATTGATTATTGCTCCTGAGCTTTAGAAGCTAAAGTAGAGCTTTATAAACTATGCTAAAGTGCACCTCTTTTTTTCTGCTTACTGCATGGGTTTATACAGCTCTCAGAGCATAGTCTGCTCAATTTTTTTAGTTTTTACCAAATGTGTAAACCTCATTAATTTCAGACTTTGTGGAAACAGTTACAGTATCTTCATAGGCAACATAAATGTTTATTTGCCATATGTACCTCTCACCTTTGTTTTTATGCTTTTTCTTAACCCTGTACAGAACAGTCAAAGTGCCCAAAACAGTGTCCAAAGGTTAATCAAATACCTGTGACCACAAAAGTTAAAGACATACCTGTGACCCCAAAACGTAACCAAAACCTATGACCTAAACGTAACCAAAACCTATGACCTGGGTTCTACCCATCCAAAGGAAAGAGCTCACATAAGTCCTTGATTTTTATATTTTTGAGTCTCACAGCTATAAACATGGTTGAGGAGCTCTGGCTGGCAGAACCTATTGTGTTCCCTCCTGAAAAATTCATTTGGCCTGACATTTGAGTGTGTGTGGTTTTTTTTTTTGTTTGTTTGTTTGTTTGGTTGGTTGGTTGGTTGGTTGGTTGGTTGGTTGGTTAGTTTTTTTTTTTTTTTTTTTTTTTTTTAGAACTTTGAAGTAAGAAGGTCAGAAGCTGTGCTTTCTTGAGATTAGAAGCCCTAGGAGATATCACAACTGACCAAGGAATGGTGGCATCTTCATTCTACTGAAGGAAAACTCACATTGCTTTAAAAAAAATAGTATGCAGCTAAAACAGCATAAGGGGCACAAGAAATAGATAAGGTATTAAGAAGCTACTCTTAACTTTCAGGTGATGACTTTGGACTTCCTGAAGGTCCAGTTAGGTATTCACTGTGCATCCTTCCTGATGGCTGAGTGCTCTTAAGAAAACATAGGCTGGAGAGATGGCTCAGAGGTTAACAGCACTGACTGTTCTTTCAGAGGACCCAGGTTCAATTCCCAGCACCCACATGACAGCTAACAATTGTCTGTAATTCCAAGATCTGATACTCCTACATAGAGTACATACAAGCAAAACACCAATGCACATAAAATAAAATAAAGATAAATAATATATAAAAAAGAAAACTGCCATGTGAGACTTATATTTATTTCAAAACTGCAAGTTCTTGGTCCTTCTCACACACATTTTTTGTGTATGAAGAGAAGACCATCTTAAGAAAGCCTTCACAGGGCTAGCTCAATAACTCAGCTGATAGAGACATCTGCTGCCATTCCTGATGACCCATGCTCAGTCCTTGGAACTCAATGGTGGAAGACAAGAACTGACTCTCACACATGCACTCAAGCATGTGTCATCATTGTCATCATGGGAAAATTACTTACAGCAATCAAATACCATCAAAACAACACAGAATCTCTTATTGCATATTAGAAGCATTTTCTTTGGATTCGCTTAGTTTGGAGTACTCTGAATTAATTATTCTGGAGCTAGGAACCCAATAGTTGGTTTTGCCCAAAGCTCTGTGAGTTGTGCTTGCCTCCTGGTCCATGTTTCTCCACCTGAAGCTGTGCTTTTTTGCTACTAGCATCATGAAACATTGCCCTGTCAATAGCGGGCCCATTAGCAAAGGCCTGGAACTGTTGAGTGATAACCATGAATAAATTCTATAGCTATTCTACAGAATTTATTCTCTTTATTCTACATCATTTCAGATACACACACACACACACACACACACACACACACACACACACACACACACACGGAAGCCAGCAAATGTAATGTATATTTCCATCTATATATGCTTAAGTATCAACTACTTGAAAAGTGCTCATGAATGCTTATTGTGAAACTAACAGTAACAGCGTGTCCTGGATAGTTTTATTGTCGACTTGACATAAGCTAGAGTCATCTGAAAAAGAAAGGAAACTCAATTGAGAAGATGCCTCCATAAGATACATCTGTAAGACATTTTCTTAATTAGTGATCGATAGAGGAGGGCTCAGCCATGGTGGGTGGTACTACCCCTGGGCAGTGGTCCTGGATTCTGTAAGAAAGCAGGCTGAGCAAATCCATAGAAGCAAGTTTGTAAACAGAATCTCTCCATGGCCTCTGCATCTTTTCCTGCCTCCAAGATCTTGCCCTGTTTGAGTTGTCCTGACTTCCTTTAATAAAGAACAGTTCTGTAGAACTGTAAGCCAAATAAAACCTTTCTTCCCTAATTTTGTTTGGTCAATACCAATCCTAACTAAGACACAGCACTGGCAATTCCTACTCTTGGAGCACAGCCTTGGCATAAATAAAGGTCAACTTTGCTAAGTAATGTTTATATTTTCCAGTTTGTAAATCTAAAACTCTTTGCAAACATAATTTCACCTCATATTTCTTGCTGAGTTTTTTGAATGATGGAAGTGGCCCAAAGTTACTTTGGCAGATTTTCTGACAAGACATGATATGTGTGAGTGTGAGTATACTATGCTCTTTATTGTTGTTGGTGTGAAGAACAGGTTTCCTACCCTGGACTGGCAGATGGCTGAAAGGTTGGTCTCTGTTTTATCCTTTTCTTGGTCCTTAGGCTATGGAGTCTGGCCGACCATGCCTTGATTGCCCGCTGCAACATGGAGGAAGCAGTCCGTAGTGTCTCTTTCAGTCCTGATGGGTCTCAATTGGCCCTGGGCATGAAGGATGGCTCTTTCATTGTTCTCCGAGTCAGGTACATTCAATACTGAAAATGGTACTCTGAGATGTTACTTTGTTAAAAACTAAAAAGTATCCTGGTCGTAAAATATGTCACACTGTTAGGAAACCCTTTACCTGTGATTCGCAAATCCTAAACCTTGAACATCCAGATGTCTTTGTAAAAATATTTGGATGTAGAACTAACCCAGTGACATGACATGAGTTTACTTATAGCCTTCAATCTGTTCATAGAAATAAAATACTGTATGATTTGCTGTTTTTTGAGGAGGGTGCTGCCCCAGCCAGTACATTTAGGAGTTCCTCAACATGTTCTGTTCCTAGGGATCTTTGTAACATGGAAGTGAGAACTGGAGGCTATCTGATCCCAGGGACTTGAGGCAGGCAGATTTGAGCTCTGTAGTTAAACCAGTAAAAGAAGAAGAAATAATAAAGCAGCACCCAACAACACTAAATTCTTATAAGTAAACTTGAATCAAAGGTTTCATTCATAGAATTGCCTGTTGCTGACATCTTGTGGAATTATTCTGAATTTGCTGTGATTTTGTAGTCACATCAAAGAAGTATAGCTGTCAATGAATGCTGCATGTTTTAGGTGGAGAAAATTCGGAATTCTCGGTACACATAATTAATCTCCAAATTAGTGGGCAGTGTTTCCATTCATTGCTAACTGAGTGACATTAAGGTAATTAATTACCAAATTTCCTTTTTGGTAGAATTTTCAAGTGTAAACAAAAGACAAAATATGCAGTTATTTAAGTTGTTATAGTACAGCATAGTGCTGTGGTAAATAATAGCAGGCGTTGGGTGGTTATATGCAAGCAATGTGTGCTGCTGTTGGATGCATTCAGTTTGTTTTATAGTTGATGGATGCATTCAGTTTGTTTTATAGTTGATGAAGCCATCTTCACTCACTTAGGGGACCTGAGTCATAATCCCGTCTCCTAGTTAGAAGGGAAAAGCAACCCTAGTGAGCTTCCAGATGCAAACAGAAATTAATCTTAACAAAACTTGGTAATTCCATGCTCAAGTGGATGATCACATATCCAAGAATATATGGCAACACAAATTGCAGTTAGTGGGCTTTTAAAAACAGAGGAGGTATAGTCAGGAGGTGAGTCTGGATTGGGAGAAGTTGAGAGAAGAGGGTAAATATCAAAATACGTAGTACAAAATTCTCAAAGAATTAAATTTAAAAAAAAAAAAGAATTTGACCAAAAAAGATACAAAATGTTTAGTGATTTGGCATGTTCATTATGACCTTTCATGCTGAGAATGAAATGATTGTATAACATTTTGACATTTAAAAGGTAGTAATTTTCTTCCTTTAGACTCCTTCCTTTTACATAGCAATAAGCATAATAGTTGGTTTATATTTTCTCATTTCTTCTTTTGAGACAGGATCTCACTCTATAGTCCTGTCTGGCTTGAAACTTGGTATGTAGATGAAATGGCCTTCAACCCTCAGAGATCTACCTGCCTCTGTCTTCCAAGGCTGGGATTAAAGGCGTGCACCACCAAATCTGCTCTCATTTATGTTTAAAATATAAACAGGTGGCTTAATTTTACGCTAATTTTAATTTGTTTTGCCTTTCTCTGTTGCATATTTTAAGATTACTTTTAAATCTAATTTTTAAATAAATTTCCAATAATATATAGTTGAACAATGAAGCAAATATTCTTTGTGTTAAAAGTTTTTATTTTACCCTGAGGGAACAAAATATTATTTTAAATGTTTTAATTTTTATAAGCAGGATATAAATAATAAATATATCATATTTTTAATGAAAATAAATCTTTTAGTCCCTATGGAATCATTCTCTTTTGTGACACACACCTTTTTTTTTTTGTATTTGGACAACATGTAGAACTTACACTTTAATTACATATACACTTCAGTGGGAGGGCTCTGTACACAAGGAACTATACACAACTAGGCAAATATTTTAAAAGTTTTTTTTAAAACACTCATGATTCTTCAGTATGCATTTTCAAAGCTTAATACAGTTTTAAGATGATATTGTGTGACAATTTTATATAGAATGAAATCAGTTTGTGTTCTAGAAATTATTATACTCAAAAACCCAAAGTGAAAATATCCTGGGCATGCTCAGTCACACATATGCCCTGCATTCATTTTTACCCAACAAACTCAGATGCTGAGTGGGTGCAGGTAAAACATCTCCCCATCTCAGGAAGAGCACAGATCTCTGAGCATCTCTCCAGAAGGATGGAGAAGGCACCCATCTCATGGAAACCTATGCTTTTTAAAACCATTGTTTTAAAACCCTGACGGTGGTTCCCTACTAAAGGAAGAACATTTACAGCCAGGCCAACACACTCCCCATTCTCCCACAGTTTGGCATCACTGGTCACCAGGCCGGACATCAAGTAGTCACATTTTCAACCTACAGTTTCAGCACATGAAGCCTTCGTTAAGTTCTATAGAAGGAAAAGCAGAATGGAGGTGATGATACACAAATGGATTCTGCTGGTCCCATCCCCACAGGCCACACAGACTCAGTTCATTAAATGTCATTTCAGATTTCAAGTTTTCAATGACATCATCTGCTATCTTCAAAGAGGGGAGTGGCAGGTCAGAATTAATAAGCAGCTGACAAGCCATATGTGCTCTAAAAGGGAATACTGCAGTTAAAAAAAAAAATGTGACAGTGACTCAGAAAAAAAAAGTCATCATTGCTCTAAAGCATGCACTTCATTACACTGCACTCACCGGAATGTACCAGAACCATTAAATTATATATTAAATAAATGTCTAAGTGATGATTTAAGGAGAAAAAGTAACCCTCATTCTGGACAGAAAATTCTTAAATATCATAGTCTACATGGAGGAGAGGCGAAATGAAGTATCAAGTATTCAGTATCAACTGTTCAGCAGTTGCCAAAGTTCTAGTTCATCAGGAACAGCATTGATCTCACACTAATGCCCTTGCTTTCCTTGGTGCTCTCTGCACAAGTATGGTGTCTGTGAGTTCTGCACTGTGGGACAGGATGCCCCTCCAGCTGACACACACCTTTTAAAACAAGACTTGACTTGGGTTTTAAGTTCTCAATTTTCTGATTGTCACTTTGTGTTTTATTCCTATAGAGATATGACAGAAGTGGTCCATATCAAAGATAGAAAAGAAGTCATTCATGAAATGAAATTTTCCCCAGATGGTTCTTACCTCGCAGTAGGATCCAATGATGGACCTGTGGATGTCTATGCTGTTGCCCAGCGGTATAAGAAAATAGGAGAATGCAGCAAGTCCCTTAGTTTTATCACACACATCGACTGGTCTCTGGATAGTAAATACTTGCAAACCAATGATGGTGCTGGGGAGAGGCTGTTTTACAAAATGCCATGTGAGTCCTAGATAGATGATGCTTATGTAGATGCTGTGAGAAACAAACTTGGAGAATGTCCCATGACCTCAGGGTAAGGGATGTTTCCTGAGACAAGATTCCTAAGTCATGGTCCCTCAGAGTAAATGTTAACAGGTTGGATCACATTAAAAATGTTAAAACACTAGGAAAATATGAGTAAGCTGCAAAGATGAGCATACAGTGAGCATAAATACCTGTATTGTTCTCATGGGCACAGTGTACAGAGGGCAGCACTGGAGGTCCATTCTAATTATTTAGACTGGGAAAAACCTGTCAATATTACATGGGGGAAGAGGAGAACAAGTGACGCACAGTGCTGTTAAGAACTTGCACAGAAATGTTTGCTGTGGAGGTGATTATAGGAAACAAAACTATGGCAGAATTCCTAAGTGGCCATCGGAGTGAAGAGAATCTAAAGTGTGCAGTCACAGAAGGCAATTCTGTAACACTTGTGTCAATATGGATAGATCTTAAAAATATACTGCTGAGCAAATAAATGTAAAATGGTATGTACAGTATGTTCATAAAAATGTTGAGATATTGAAAGTTCCATTACAAAGAAACTGGTGGGATGAGTCAGCAGGTAAAGCTCTTGCCATGCAAGCCTGGTGACCCACAGGGAGTGGAAGGAGAGAATTGAATCCATCAAGCTGATGCACAATAATAGTAACAAATGATTTTGTAATTCTTGATAAAGGCCAATAATACTCATTGAAACTTGGTGCTTAGTTCCATGTCCAGGCCTTGTGCTTCTATTCCGTTCTTGCTTTGCCACTTGCATTGTTGGTTGATACACTTCTCAAAAGGCCAATAACTGAACAGCCATTCTTAAAAATGGACATGCTATTCTATAGTGTCTTACACATAGATCTCTGCAACAGAAATTGAGATGAAGGGATGTGAGTGCGTGCCCTATGGGGTCCACCTGCTAGGCAGTAACAGTAATAGGAATACTGCAGGTATTCACCTTTTGCCTCAGTCCTGCTGCAGCCAAGGTCCTGAGATGGGGAAGGGGCATTGGCAGAATCATCTGACTACCAGATGAGTTTCACACATGGCCAGCCTGAATAGCTCAAGCCATCTTTATTTATATTTCCAAAACAAGCATGCTCTCTCCATCCTCCACTTAACTTCTAGTAAAGAACAAATATTTCAAATATGTTTTTTGCCAACGTTTACATCAAAACAACTTTTAAAAAATGCTCAGCATTTTATTAACTTGGCTATAAATTGTGCTAGGCACATCCTGTCCCTACAAAACTAAAAGGTGATAATATTCAAAAACAACAATACCATTCAAAACTTAACAAAACATATTTACAGAAATAGGAGTGATTTGCCATAAATTACTAGCATATAGTGAACTCTTATTTCTTTAACTGCTCATTAACTTTTATTGCCTCCCATCTTGTCAGCACTGAATCAGAAGAGATCCCAGGGTCTGGAGTGAAAGCTGGTGTTTCCAGATAAGAAACCTGAGAAGCATCAGTTCCCAAAGAATTTTATGGGAAAGTTTTTGAGGAAAAAAAGTATTGGGTGGGGGGTTCTGGGAATGATCACATCTGACCAAGAGAATCATCAATATTATGAGAGAGAGGAAAGTGTCCATTATAAATCTCCCTTCAAAAGTTAAAACTTTTCATTCCTAAAGGGCCCCTCTCTTCCTATCCTAAACTAATGTGACCATTAGGCAAACAAATTTCTGCCAAGATCCAAAGGAATCTAAGGGTCTGTTGGACCCTTAAAAGGACAGCCACAGAGAATTAGAAACTATCCCTTAGGTAAAGGTTTGAGGATCACAGTTCTTGGTTGCTGCAATTACATGCCTTGTGGTCTAGTCATCATAATCATATTATCTAGTGAAATGTAGCTTTTTAAAATCCCATTGAGCACATTTTTTTATTCATGTCCATCTTACAACATTTTATATAAGAGATCACCTTTTTTTCCAGTGTTTCTTTTTTTATTATTTTATTTTATTTTTTTTTATTTTTTTATTTTACATAACCAAGTCCATTTAAATGAAAACAAATATTTGTAGACAATATTTGGGAACTTGGGTGTTGTTCTTTCCAAACTACTTCCTGCTGGTAAGGGGCACTGTCATGGGGGATTCAAAGAAGATTCAGAAATCTTGGCTGTAGTCTGTAAGGCTGCTTTGTCCAGCTGTTTTGAATGTAGGATCACCTGGTACTCTGTTTCAGGTGGTCTGGCTTGATCAAACCACATTAGTCTGGAAGGAATCCACAGCTTTTCATTTTCTGTGGAAACAAAAATAGAAATGCTTTTCCCCAGTAACTTGTCCTTGGACTTAAATTTTGGAGTCAAAGCATTTTTTTAATTTAATTTATTATTTTACATGTCGATCCCAGTTCCCTCTTCCTCCCTCCCTCCCAATCTCCCTCACTCCCTCCCTTTCTCCCTCCTTCCTTCCCTCCCTTTTACCCTTTCTGCCCTCTCACATGCACTCTAAACACCCTCCCATCCCCCCACCCCAATTCCATATGTAGGGGAATGTCATCCAGTTGGGGTCATGTAGATCTGACAGGTCATGTGAAGTAGGGACTAGGGCTTCTCTCCTGTCTCTAGGTTAAGGCAGTTATCCCTCCATGGGGGATGTGTTCCCAAGGTCCTTTTGTGCACCAGGGATACATCCTGGCTCCACTGTCTGAGGTGCCTTAGACTGCTCAGTCCTTCTGGCTGGGACCCATATTCAGGGGGGCCTGAGTCAGTCCCATGCTGGCTTCCCAGCTATCAGTCTGTTGGCCCGTTAGCGCCTCCTTGTTCAGGTAAGCTGTCTCTATGTGTTTCTGCCACCTGGTCTTGTCCTCTCCCTCTGCATCTGAGTTCTACTTCGACTCAGTGTTTATGTATGGGTGTTTGCTCCTGTTTCCAACAGGCATTAGTTGAGGGCTCCATGGATAAGTTAGTTGTTGATCTCACTCTCCGGGAAGGGCATTTATGGTAGCTCAAATTGTTAGTTGGCAGCAGTCTTGTAGTTCTCTAGACCTTTCTTTGTACAATTTTATCTTCAAATCAATATTGGCTCCCTCTTTTATGTTCTCTCTCTCTCTCTCTCTCTCTCTCTCTCTCTCTCTCTCTGTGTGTGTGTGTGTGTGTGTGTGTGTGTGTGTGTGTGTGTGTGTGTGTGTCTTTCCTGTCTTCTATTCCTAACCAGGCTAAATCTTCCCGGTCGCACATGTTTTCCTTTCCTCCCCCTCGTTTTCTCCTACTTCTCTCTCCATTCCCTGCCCCCCCACTTCCCCTGAGCTCTGGGAGACTTGTCCATTACCAGTTATATGAATCTCTTAGAATACACCTTGTATCCTAGTTCCTCTGGTGGTGTGAATTATAAGCTGGTGATCCTTTGATCTAGTTCTAAAATCCATATATGAGTGAGTACATACTGTGTTCCTCTTCTTGTGACTGGGTTACCTCATTCAGGATGGTTTCTTCAAATGCCATCCACTTGCCTGCAAATTTCAAGATACCATTATTTTTTTCTGCAGAGTAGTATTCCATTGTGTAGATGTGCCACATCTTCATTAACCATTCTTCAATTGAGGGGCATCTAGGTTGCTTTCAGGTTCTTGCTATTACAAATAGTGCTGCTATGAACATAGTTGAACAGATGTCTTTGTTGCATGGATGTGGATCCTTTGGGTATATGCCTATGAGGGGAATTGCCAGGTCCTGTGGTAAACTAATTCCCATTTTCCTGAGGAACTACCATACTGATCTCCAAAATGGCTGTATGAGTATGCACTCCTACCAGCAGTGGGGGAGTGTTCCCCTTTCTCCACATCCTCTCCAATATGAGTCATCATTGGTGTTTCTAATTTTAGCCATTCTGGCAGGAGTAAGATGGTATCTCAAAGTTGTTTTGATTTGCATTTCCCTGATAGCTAAGGATGTGGAGCTTTTTCTTAAGTGTCTTTCAGCCTTTTTGATTTCCTCTATTGAGAATTCTTTCTCCAGTTCTGTATCCCATTTTTTAATAGGGTTATTTGGTGTTGTGTTGACTAGTTTCTTGAGTTCTTTATATATTTTAGATATCAGCCCTTTGTCGGATATAGGATTGGTGAAAATCTTTTCCCAATCTGTGGGCTGCCATTTGGTCTTGTCTACTGTGTCCTTTGCCTTACAGAAGCTTCTAAGTTTGAAGAGGTCCCATTTATTAATTGTTTCTCTCAGTGTCTGTGCCCCTGGAGTTATGTTCAGGAAGCGGTCTCCTATACCAATTTGTTCAAGGGTACCTCCTACTTTCTCTTCTAAGAGGTTCAATGTGGCTGGATTGATGTTGAGGTCTTTGATACATTTGGACTCAATCCCACTTCCTTCTCCCTCCCCTCCTCCCTTCCCTTCCCCCTACCAATCCTCTATCTCATCCCCTTTCTGTTCCCCAGGACCGACATGGTGGAGGGAGAGAACCAAATCGTGCAAGTTGTCCTCTGACCTCTGAGTGCATGTACACATGTACACAAATAAATAAATTGATTAAAAGATCATGCGTAATGATGCTAAAACTATAAAAAATAAAGTTCAAGACAAACTTAGTCAAGGTTTTAAAAGCAAAATGTTGGTGACTCCGTGTTGACAACATATAACTTAAAGATGTCATATGAATATAAATCCACTGTCATAGCACTTGTCTTGGTAAATTAAGATCAAGGAAGTATGAATAGTTTGAAACATTACATTTAACACATTAGTCATTTACTATTCTCTTTACTTCTAAACTCTGAGCTGATGTTTTCTTTAAATCCTTCCCTCCCCCACCAAAATAGTAACTAACTGGGTGAAGAGATTATGACTTACAGTTCTGATTTATATATTTAATGATGGTTTTAGACACTGTGAGGAAAGAAAAAATGATTAAACTACATTAGAATATGCTTGACATGTAAATATAACATCATATTGACTGTTTCAGCGGGAAAGCCTTTAACAAGTAAGGAAGAAATCAAAGGCATTCCCTGGGCCTCCTGGACATGTGTGAATGGGCCTGAAGTGACTGGGATCTGGCCCAAATACACAGAAGTTATTGACATCAATTCAGTGGACGTTAACTACAACAGTTCAGTGTTGGTATCTGGAGATGATTTTGGACTGGTCAAATTGTTCAAATTTCCTTGTCTAAAAAAAGGTAAGGCTGAAGACAGCAGTAGATTTATTTTTCTCTGGATTCTAGATCCTATGCCTTTAGGCAGTTTTTATACCTTCTCACCAGACACTCTATTTCTGCTTGTCTACATTTATTCATCACCCATTTTACACTGAATATGCTGTTGAGATCTTCTACTCTTGCTGTCCTATGTGATTTTGCAAACTTAAGTCAGAATTTGTTAAGAGTTTATGTCATGTGACTCCTATGCCTGTGTTTCACATATCCAAACAGTCATATGTTACTTATGTTTATGGGAACAAATATCCATGGGTATATATTTGTTTTTTATTCCTTTAAAATCCTATATTTTAACTTTTTGTTTGTTGTTGCTTTATTTGTTGGTTTTCAAGACAGGGTTTCTCTGTGTAGTTCTGGTTGTCCTTGAATTTACTCTGTAGATCAGGCTGTCCCCAAGCTTACAGAGATCCACCTGCTGCTGCCTCCTGAGTTTCTGGGATTAAAGGTGTGCACCACCACCTGGCTATATTTTAACTCTTCATGTGACCACCTACTTGCACTTGTACATGAAAAGCAATTCTTCTTAAACATGATTAAATAAAAGTGACAGTTCTACAACTATGGACCCCTTGTCACAGAACTAGTTTTGCAAGACTTTTCTAGAGAGAAGATGGACTGAAAACAACTTTCCTTATACTCAGGTTTTACACTTCTATGGAACCATTTTAAACAGAAGACTGATTGGAGTCACCTTGTAATGATCCTGTGCTTGCTTTGCAAACTTAGAGAAAGCCCCTCCCCAGACTCTTCTCACTCCTCCACTATGCCCTGAAAGCTAGATATTAGGAGAATAAACAACAGAGATGTGTTGCTGCCACAAACATTCACTTGAATAACTTTTTAAATTAAACAAGGAAAGAGATGAAAAGTGCAACCTGAAAGTTATTTTCAGTACTGGCAGCTTTGAAACAGTGACAGTTACCATACAGAATGGGACATGATGTACATAGGGGAACCACCATGACTTGCACAGGACAGATGGTCATTAGCCCAAACTGCTTGAAGCACAAAAAGATTGCAACGTGCCAAATTCAAATCCACTCCACCCTGCCTAATGGACCTTGGGGGTAACAGGGCATAACAGGTCTAAAGTTGGTTATGTTAGAAAGTATCTGGGAATTAAGAATTGAGGAAAATCAACCAAGACGTCAGAAGAAACTTACTGGCCTCCAGTGTCAGTACCCAAGAATAACATGAATTCCATGAGAGTTGGTGTCCTCTTGTGTCTCCAGACATTATGAGTGGTCTTGGGTCCTAGAGATGGGTATCCATCCCTAGAGATGGGGATCCATTATCAGAACCAGGGTGGTGGTATTAATGTTGTCAAAATTAGATGCCCATAAATGAAAAATAACTCTGTGGGTAGGCACAAGGAGGGCAACTGAATGAATGAGGACAGGTAGACAGCAGGGTGACATATGATGAGAGTAGTGACCTCCTCCTCAGCCATTTACTGAAGTGTCAAGGTCCCCAGAGCAAACCCAATTCTACCTTGAGTCTATAAACCTTGCAATTTTGCCTGTGACCTTCAGGCTTTTAAGCCAAAACTACTGGGAAAAAGTTACTAAAAGTATGTGGGAATCTTAGTAGGAATGCTCAATAAAACTTGACTCTTTACAAACCAGGAAACTATTTTCAAATGGTTCTAAGTGTTGAGCCTAAGAAAGACAAACATAAGGAGAGACTGATAACTATGAGCAAATAGCAAGGAAGATTGAGCAAACAGCTCACAATGAAGCTAATGTGACACACTTGGAATTACACACACACATATTTTCCTGTGCAGAAATTAGATGTAAGTACCCTACAGTTGATGACAAGTACTGAATTTATATTCTTACACAACCTAGGTAGTTTGTTTCTCATTTTGGTAGTTTTCAAATCCTTTAGAATCATTAATGACAATTTTTTTCTGATGCCATGTAGATCACATTCTGTGTGTGACTGCCGCACACTCAGTTCTCATGTTATGTGCAGTGACATACTGCTGTAAATTGGGAAGTGACGTGACCATTTTCAGTCTCTGAAAGATTGCTTTGATACTGTGCAAGACAGGTTTTGAATCATTCATCTGAGAGATGCTGTGACTAGAATACGGGCCTAAAGAGAAGACTGATTTAGATAAAGCTGAAAGGTTTGTTACTAAAGTGGATGTGGGAATAGGGGGAGCAAAAGAGCCATCAAGTATGTCTCCTGCATTTCAGGCTTGAACAGTGAGGGAGGAGACAGTGCTCTGAGAGGTGGGAAATGAGAGAAGGAAAAACTGCTTGTTGTATAGGCTTGTTGTGTAGCCTTTCAGTCTCTCATCCAAGTTTTGAGGTGCTCATTAGACACCCAGACATGAGTCTTGTGCCTCCAGGGAGTGCTCAAGGTTAGCAATTGAAAGATTTTTAAGCTAGGGAAGAGGTCAATAGAGAAGACATAAAGGCTAATACCCAACCCCATGGACAAATATCCAAAGGGAAATCTCATCTAGTCACTGCTTATCCCAAGTAAAGCTTTGGAAGATGATACCTCTGCTTACTGAACATATTTGTTAGGTGCTATGCTAAGTATGAAAGTGCTTCAGTATATCCACACAAGTCCCTGTTGTAATGGAGCTTTTGTTCTAGTGAGTGGGGGCACAGTGGATATGAAACTACAGACAAACATGTCTTATAGTAAAAAATGCTGTCAGGAAAAACAAAGGAGATGCTAGTGGAGAATGCTGGGCAGAGCATCGTGGTGTTATTGTTTCTACTAATGTGAGCAAAGTAGGGCTCCCTATTGGGATTTCATGGGAGACACCTGCAGGATAAGAGAACCAGGCATTCAGATATCCCGGAAAAAAGCATTATAAAGAAACAACAGCAAATACAAGACTTGGAGGAAGAGAACACTTTGGCATGCTTAAAGAGCTGCAAAGGGGCCAGTGTGTCTGAAGTGGAGAAGGCAAGGTGCAGAGGGTGGAAAATGGGGTCAAAGCAGTAAGGGAGGGCTTAATTACCAGTGATGATGGTTCCAGCCTACTGAGGGTGTATAAATTGCTAATTCTGCACAGTAGCTCCACCTCCATATTTAGAAGCTTATATGAGAAATGGTCTCACAGACTTTTGTGGAGGCAGAGGATGAAGTTCAGGAAGATAGAAATGTGGGAAATTAATAAACATGCTACTAAGTGGTTCTAGTTCAAGTGCCCTTGTGAATTACCATCCTCTGGTGGATAGGATGAGACTCACAGATAGGACTTTCATCTGGGGACCTTCCACAGACTGCCTAAGTGTCCTTAGGACATGGTGTGGCCCAAGAAGGACACCAAGGAGGGGTCTGTGGTGGCTTCGGCCTCTTCTGTGATGTCACACACTTTCCCTTTGCTACTTGTATTTGAATTCTACTAATGTTTCCTTCATTTTTGTTGGTGTTTTGCTTCACTTTTTGAGGCAGAGTTTCTCTGTGTAACATCCCTGGTCATCCTGAAACTCCCAGAGATTCACTTGCCTCTGCTTCCCAAGGGCTGGATGTGCCACCACTACCTGGTGAATTCTATTACTTTTTATATAATGTATTTAATTTATTTTATTAATATATTAATTTTATTTATTTTATTTATTCTTCACCATCTTCATAACCCACTGAAGAGACAGGTTAAGTGGCCTCTATGGATAGAAAAGACAGAGATGTAGGAGGGATATTTTGCTTAATTTATAGAGACTGCTTTATCTTGCATTTAAATTAAGAATGGGTAAGATGTTAATTCTTTATTTATATTACTTTTTTTACATATCAATCCCAGTTCCCTCTTCCTCCCATCCACCCAAGCCTATCCCCCATTGTGACCCCCATCCCATTCCCCTTTCACTCCCCAGGGAGGGTGATGCCTTCCAGGAGGGATCATCAAAATCTGTCAACTCATTTGGAGTAAGATCTAGGCCCTCCCTTGTGTCTCTAGGCTAAGGGAGTGACCCTCCATGGGGAATGTGCTCCCAAAGTCCTTTCATGCACCAGTTCCACTGTCAGAGGTGCCATAGACTGCCCAGGCCTCCTAACTGAGACCCACGTTTAGGGGGTCTGGGTTGGTCCTATGATGGTTCCCCAGCCATTGCTCTGGGGTCCATGAGTCTCCCCCCCTTGTTCAGGCCAGCTGTCTCTATGGGTTTCTTTCTTTTTTTTTTTCCCTCTTCTAGAATAATCTTCAAGGGTAGCTGGGGCTCTTATACTGCAGTATAAGACTCTGAGTAATTGGAAAAACCTAATAGCTGGACCCTCTCCTAGGTCCAGCATTAATGAGTAACTTTATGTACTCTATTTATTGTTTGACTTTATTTACTTCTTTCTATTTTTATTTGAGACAGAGTCTTGCTGTAGAGCCCTGACTGCTCTCTCTCTCTCTCTCTCTCTCTCTCTCTCTCTCTCTCTCTCTCTCTCTCTCTCTCTCTCTCATGCCTCTCTGGTCTCCCTGTCTTGACTAGGATTACAGGTGTGTGCCACCATGTCCCACTCATATCTCACATTACTTCCATTGTAGAATAGTTTGGAAATTAGTTTGTGTAAACAGATTCTTCACAGAGATATATTTCTTTCTCCCAAAATCAGTTCCTGACTCTGTTCTAGAACTACCTGAGGAATGCAGACTGTTTATCTTTCTTGTGAAGAATTAGCAATATTCTCATATAGGCCTGGAGATGTGGCTTAATTATAAATTTGCTTAGCATCATTTTCTCTTAATAAATTGTAAGATATTTGTGCAACACATTTAAGAGACTACTCTATCTTCAGCCCTGAGTATTTGTATATTTTCCATGTCTTATACATACTAATTTTCAGACCTGTCTAAAGAATGTCCTATATATAGCAGATGAAGCCTCAAGGGTTTTTTGTTTGTTTGTTTTGTTTTGTTGTTGTTGTTATTGTTTTTTTAATATAATTTATTTTTTAATTTTTATTTTACATATCAATCCCAGTTCCCTCTCCCTCTCTCCCAC